TGATTGAGGAGGACAGAGTGTTAAAGAGACAATTGAAAAAGGATTTGGAAGAGGTGTTACTGAGGGAAGAAATCAGTTGGAGACAAAAATCTAGACACAAGTGGATTACGGAAGGCGATGGGAACACTAGATTYTTCCATGATTTGGCAAATGGGAGACGAAGAAAGAATCTTGTGACCAAGTTAGAGATAGGAGAGAAGGTGATTACCAACCAGGATGACAGCCAGAAAATTTGTGGACCACTTCAAATCGATTTATAGAAGACCTTTGAGTGAGAGAGCAGTCGTGGAAGGGGTGGAATGGCCAAGAATTGAGGACGGAATGGCAAGGTGGCTGGAAAGGGATTTTGAAGAAGAAGGGATTAAGAAAGCTGTCTTTCTAATGGATAAGATCCAAGGCTCCAGATCCAGATGGCTTTACAATGGGTTTTTATCAAGACTATTGGGAGGTGTTGAAAGAGGATTTAGTTGAAGTCTTTAAGGAATTTGCAGACAATCATGTAATAAGCAAGACAATCATGTAATAAGCCTTGGAATCAATGCCACTTTTTTGGCCTTGATACCTAAGAAGATTGATGCCAACCACTCGAAAGATTATAGGCCAATTAGTCTAGTGACAAGCATTTATAAAATTCTAGCTAAAGTGCTTTCGTTGAGGATCAAAATAGTTCTCCCTTCTATCATTAGTGAAACCCAGGGGGCTTTCATTCGAGGGCGACAAATAACAGATCAGATCTTAATTATGAATGAGTGTGTGGAGGAAATGAAAAGGTCTAGGAAGAGAGGTTTCATTTGTAAATTGGATCTTGAAAAGGCCTATGACTTGGTGGACTGGGAGTTTTTATTAGAGGTGATGCGAAACTGTGGATTTGGGGACAAGTGGTGGAGTTGGATATTTGGGTGTATCAGTACTTGTCATTACTCTATTTTGGTAAATGGTATTCTTTTTATCAGCATAGAAACTTTCATTAAAAATTAAGTTACAATAAGTAAAGATTGCAGAGGGACAAACTGCAATCTCCACTAATTAGTTACAATTCTGCCTAGTACAATGAAGATCTATTTGCCCCTTGTTTTGCTAGGGTATCCGCCATTCCATTTGCATCCTGTTTAATCCTACCAAATTGAGAGTTGAACTTCCTTGCAAGTGTGTCAATTTCTCTAAAGATAAATTTGAGCTTCCAAGGTACTGATGTGATGTTTTTGGCCCAAGAGATGCCCAATAGTGAGTCTCCTTCTATTTCTAAGTCTGTTGTTCCTATTTGCTCAACCATCTTTAGACCTTGAAGTAGGGCTAGAGATTCAGCTTGTATTGAGTCACCAATACCTATTGGTCCTGAGTAGAGTGCCACCACTGCACCTAGATGATTTATAAACACACCCCCTATGCCTGCTCTTCCTGGGTTGCCAAGAGAACTCCCATCAACGTTCAGTTTTAATTTGTTTAGTGCTGTTGGCTTCCATTCCATGCTTACAAGTACTTTGGGTACATCTATTTGTGCTACTTCAGCCCAATTTCTCAGTATCTCATTTGTGGAGTAGTTTTTGAATATCTCCATGGTCTTCACCCAATGTGCAGTTCTGATTTTTATGGCTTCAATAACTTCCTCCTTTGTTTTCCTCTTTCCAGAAAAGATTCTTAGGTTTCTTTCCTCCCATATAGTCCATACTGT